TTTATTTATTTGTCTGAGAGAGAGAGCGCACAAGCAGGGGGAGTGGCAGAGGGAGAGGGAGAAGCAGACTCCCCGCTGAGCCGGGAGCCCAATGGGGGACTCGATCCCAGGACCTTGGGATCATGACCTGAGCGAAAGGCAGCCGCTTAATCGGCTGAGCCACCCAGGCGCCCCTGAAAATGTTTTTCATTGTGAGTTCAGTAAAGTTTAGAAAGGCTATCTTCCCTAAACTCACTGGGATCCACTTTTCATTTCTGATGCCTTCAGTGAGTTAAAAGAAAACTTGTCAAGAGCCATTTTTTTTTCTCCAACAGATTTATTTTGAAAGGAATGGATTTTGAGAAGAAACATGGGCTAGAGGTATGGAATAGAAAATAAATACAAATGTAAGCTGTTTTACTAATTGTTTTATAACCACAACAAATTTGTACAGAGACTGCCCTGTACAAAACAACACAATAAAGGTTCAAAGATCGAGGTGTTCCCCTAAGCAAGGCTGAAGAATTCAGTCTCTGGTATTTGGAATTTAGGCTGCAGTCCTTGGTTTTGGATGATCACTAGGTGTGTGACATAGTCCATGCTTTTAACCAGATTTGAACAGAAGAATGGCCACTTGGCCCAGGCAGAAGTAGATGAAGTGTTTGGTTTCATGTGTCACATAACTACCGAAGTGCCTCCCCACGATGCAGTGCCAGGTGGGGTTGTACTTCTTATCAAACTCCTTTTTAATTTGGGCTGCAATGTCCTTCTCTACGTTACATTTCTCCAACGCCTGAGTCGCACACTCCACCGAGTCCTGTCGCATCTCCGACATATCAGCGTTTTTGATCACGGCCTTTTGGTGGCACATGGTTACCGAGGAGCAGGGGGCGGCCAAGTGCAACGGTCTCCTGGGGGAGGGGCTGGCGACACTCAGACCCGGCGGGAGCTACCCTCGCTACCGAAGCTGTGGTGCATCTGGAGAGAGCCATTTTTAAAAAAACTTGTAAAATGAATAAAACCGCATCTTGAATATGTGCCGCATTACAGAAAGATTCGCATTGTTTTGCTAACCAGCATCTAGTCTCTCTTACTTAGCTCTGCAATAACCAACATCCAGTTCCCTTGGTAATGCATGCAGGACAGTGTCTGAATTCCTTACTCAGTCTTTACATTAGTAGAGAGTTTGAATTTTCAAGCCCTGAACTCAATGTATAGGAAGCGTGTCTTTCTGTAATTAAATGATTTTAATACTTCTTTTCCAGCTTGTTTTCTACCTAATGGTAGAATAATTAATCTAGTTAATTCCAGGTAAATTTAGTCCCCTCACATTTCTCCTCGGTCAGTCCAGACCTCAACCATGTCAGTTCTTCATCTCCTTCTTGGGGCACAGGGAAACCTGACTGCTCTCAGATTGTCTTGCCCTTTCTTCCTGCCACCACCTACAGGCATTTTTGCTCTATCCCATTGGCACACGGAACTCCTCTGGGGCTCCAGAGTTCCTGATTGGAAGCAGAGACTCTCCTCTGTTCTCAGACCCCCAAACTGTCCTGGAGATTCTATTGTCCTGTCCCTTGTTTTTCAGTCCTTAGAACCCATTGGGAGGTGAGACCCTTAGACATCTTGCCAACATTTCCCTCATTCCCACCCAGCCTCATCCTCTCCCTCCCCAGTTAGGAAGGGGATCTATAGTATATGAAGGGGGGGGTTGATGTTGTGGGAGAAAAGTGAGCTACTTTTGGAATCAGACATTCTGAGATCCGTGCCTACTGCAGGTTTCAACATTTTAGCACTACAAGGACAATTTTCCCTGGCATAGTTATCTTAATCAGGTAACTGAGTATGAGGGAGATTTTTCTGTATATCACAGCAGGAAGTAGCCCATCAGTTAATTCTTAACAGTGTCACTCACAACCCTCACATTCACGGTGAAGGGTCATCAGCCATTGGTCCCTGTTCCAGAAAGGCTCAAGCAGAAATGGAAGTGGTCTGGGGGTGTGAACATGTGCAATTTACATCAGTCCAGCTGATAGGGTCCAAGCAAATCTTAAAACTAGTTTTGCTTAGGGGGCGCCTCGGTGGTGCGGTTGGTTAAGCAACCAGCTTTGGGTTTGGCTCGGATCATGATCTCGAGGTACTGGGATGGAGCCCCATGTAAGGCTCTGCACTCAGCATGGAATCTCCTTGGGATTCTCTCTCCCTCTCTCTCTGCCCCTCCCACCCGTGCATGTGCTCTCTCTCAAATAAATAAATAAATCTTAAAAAAAAAACACAAAAAACCCTAGTTTTGCTTATTTACAAATGAAATTGTCGGGTCCCTGAGCTTTCATATTCTCTTTTCTTCCCATTTAGATGTCCCAGTTTTGGTGTTTTTGGGTTTTTTCTCTTTAATCTTACCTTTCTCTCTCTCTCGGCTTCTGCACTTAAGCGACCTCAGACTTGTAGGCCAAGAAGGTAGAGCTCCTGTCATAAGGGCTGTCTTCAGAAGGGACTCTTGGGAAGAGGTTAATACAGACAAAGGAGTGAAACAAACTACTAGCAACACTTTCCTGTTGTTTTGATCTTCTTTTCGCAGTTTGGGATCAATGGCCTTTTTTTTTTTTTTCTTTAGGACTCCAGTATTTTTGTAGGTTCCAATCTTGGGTCTGTGCTCTCTAGTGCCCAAATGGATGGAACATTTCTCATGACTCAGCACCCTAGCTTCCACTGCCCCAACCTAGGCACTCATGTCTCTCATTCCCCAGGACTCAGAGTTCTCGTTTTCCTTTCCTATTTTCTCTGGGTCTTGTTTCTTTGCTGTCTGTTTGCCGGGTCAACCCAGAGTCCCATAAAACAATGTTGCTAAACTGGAAGGGATTGGGGATGGAAGAACAGACAAGTACACCAGGAGCAAGTTCCATAAGGAATGTGCGACAGGACGTGTCGTTTCTGAAATTCAGCTGCTGCTGGAGTTGAAGAGAAGCCCATCGTGGAAGAGAAATATGTAGCCAACTTTGTGGGCCTTTGGAAAACCTGAGACCCTTGATCTTGTAACCTTGGAAGCAGGATTGGATCCAGTAAAACTGAGGTCAAATGCTGGTGAACTTCTCCAAAGTCAGCAGGAGAAAAGAAACTTGTAGAGTCATATATTTTAATCCTTAAACAGAACATAAAGATATTAAGAAGATACTCTAAGCATAATCAAGCTAGAGCTAATCTGGGTCATTGCTTAAATCAGTGCTTCCCAAACTTTAATATGCACCCCATCCCTTGGGGCTCATGTTAAAGTGCAGATTCTAACATAGTAGGTTTGGGGAGTGGGGGTTAGGGCTGAGCTTCCACATTGGTGATCCGTTCCTGGTTCAGGGATCACACTTTGGGTAGCAAGAGCTCAGGAGGCGGGCTGGAGAGAAGGAGGTGTCCTCAACCGAAGCTTTGAGCTAACAGCGAACTCCCCATTCTGCTCCTCTTCCCTAAGCTCGGTCTACCAGCTGCCCCCGTGGTCACCTTCACTGTCCTTTGATGTTTCCTTCCCTTCTAGAGCTGCTAATGCTTTTTCAGGTACAAGAAGGGGAGAGCAAGTCTGGCTCACTCAAGGAGACTGATCTGAAGGATATTTGGCAGTTCACAGAATTGAAGAGCTGACCCACCAGTCCTGGGATAGATGGGAACCAAGGCGGTTCAGGAGCCTGAGCAGTGCGAGCTCCAGGCCCTCCCCCGGCACATCCCATAAGATGCCTGAATTCTGTCTCCTCAAGCTTCAAGTCTGGGTCAGGTGTTTTTACCTTCAGAGTTCTCAGCATATGCCAGTTGAATTTGTGTCTGCTATCCCTTTCTTTGTCCCTTGTAAGACTATCCTCGATCATTTTAACTTGTATTTACATGTATACAAATGGTGTATGTGTGTGTGTGTGTATGTCTGTCTGTCTGTCCAGGGGCAAAGGAGATGTTAATGCTGCAATATGATTTCTCCCTAAATAGATTATCAAAAAATCCCCCATATATCAAACTTAGGACTTTTAAAATACATGATCTTACATTGTTTGGATTACATATGTCTTGGATATATAACTAAAATGTTCTCTGTGAGCAAGAGCTGTCTTTTATATATACATATATATAAAATAAACAAGGCTTTTTGTCTGATTTAAAAAACACATTGTAAATTTTCAAAAGGCCTTTGAGACATACTTTCTTTGTAATCATAGGGGTTATATCTCTGAAAACATCACAATTGAGGAATGTAAGATTGGGGTGATAAAACAACAAATAAGAGAATGGATTTTCCTCTTCTATTTACTATGTGACTTTGGTCAATTACTTTTTTTTGAAGCTCCTGCAACTGAGAGTTAACCAAGCTCCTTTCTTATAAGTTTGTTTTGATGACTATATAAAATGTATATAAAGTGTGTGAACTGCTTTAAAATATTAGCTATTTCTATCATCATCACTGTTATGGAATTTGAGACTATGAGAACGATACAGAACTTGAGGGCAGGGGGGAATATGAAAGTAGTTATATTCACTAAAATATAACAATGGAGACAAAACAAGGAAAGACACATCAAGGATGTTTTATATATCTTAAATGAGAAATAATGAGTATGGCTCTATACATTTCCATTTCCCATCTTTTGTTCACTAACAGCTTTTCAGGATTTCACTTCTTCCAAGTTTTAAAGGAATCTTTGTACATTTGTTTTGCTTTGTTGAAGCTAATATGCCCACTGTAAGACATTTGTTTCTCGAGTCTGGTTCTCTTGCCAGATACTTAAAGCATTTTTTCTTTTTTTTTTAATGATTGTAAGAGATTGCAGCTTCCCATCGCCTAGATGCTGTCCCTAGGTTCTGCTCTTTTCCCAGAGGCAGAATAACTTGGATGGTTAAAGTGGAAAAGGCTTTGGGTAATAATGTGCTGCTTTGCTCCCAGCTCTACTCGAACTCCCTCTTCAGTGCCCAGGGGTATCCACCCCTAATCGTAGCCCTACCGGGGATACCCTGGTGCCAGGTGCTCCCCAATTCTCCTCCCTTACACAACAACCTTAGTGCACTTCTAAGGTGTGTGTTATTTCGTTATCCATGCCAAGAATTTATTTTATTTTATTTCTGCCTGCCGGATCATTTTCCCTTCGCCTTTCTCCTCCTTCTTTTCTCCTCCTTCTCTGCCTTAAAGTAACATTCCCTTCTTTTCCCAAATAATCACAACAGGAATGTGCAGCCGCTCCTGTGAGCTGGAACTGACGTTCTCAGATTGCTAGCGTGACATCTAGGCAGAAATTCCCATTTATTAGGATATCGCGTGGGGATAACTCAAGCAGTTGGAAAGAGATTCCTGTACTTTTTTTTTTTTCATCCCCAAAGCCCAGGTACTCAATTTAAAAATCTTTAATAGAATTGAATCCTGCTCTTATTGGAGGAAAGGAACAGAATATGATGGAGAGAAACAGGAAATGAAAAAAGTCAAGAATCTGAAACGAGATAAATCAGTGAAAAGGACTTTTATCTTGTGGTCCTTTCTGCTATTCTTATCTAAAGAAACTGAGTCTGGACAGTACCAAACATGGAGGGAATAACCCCGGCAAACATACTTTTTTGGGGGGGGGTGGATTTTGCCTTCCTTGGCAATCCCCATTTTATTGAGGATGTTCAAGGAGTTGATTTCTTCACAGGAGATGGGTGTTCCCTTGCCTTCTTAGGAAGAGGATTCAGGTCCTGTTGACTCATGGGACTTTTCTTGGCCACTATGATTTCATCTACACTCACGAGCTGGAGAACCACATCAGCTACCACTCCAAGTCCTTGGGCTTTGGCTGCTAGGGTGTCCCACACCTCTTCCTTGGCCACGTTTATTATCCCCTCAGCCCCCACGCCTACCAGGAAGTTCCCAGCTTGGTGGGCACCGCTCATCTCTGCCATGACCTCTGAGACCACCAAGCCTGCATTCTCTGCAAGGGTTTCGGGAAGAGACTGAAGGGCCTGTGCAAATGCTAGGAAGGCTGGGCCATTGGGCCCTTCCAATTTGCTTCCTTTTTCTGAGAGTATTTTTGCCAGAGCCATCTCTGTGGCCCCCGCTCCGGGGAGCAGTCTGGGATCCTGACACAACTGGAAATAGGCATCAATGCCATGGTAGACAGCCTGCTCTGCACCCTTTAGCCCCTCAGCGGTGGCTCCCCTGAGGACCAAGGTGAGGGCAGGGGTACCTGAACATTCCCATTCAAATACTACAGTCGAACCTTCCCCCAGCTCCTGCAGGTATACCCTCTGGCACTTTCCTGGCTTCAGGGGAGGAAGCAGATACGGCATCAAAGGTGTGCCCAATACCTCACTCAAGCGGACCATGTCCCTCCGGCACCTAGCTTGAATCACCATGATGCCGTACTTATCAGCCTGCGTCAGTGTATTCTCATCGATGTCCCCCCTTACCACCACCACATTAATACCTGCAGCTACCAGTTGGGTTACTTGCTTTTCTATCAACTGTTCATTTCCTTTCCTGAATTTAGTTAGGTCGTCAGGACTAGAGAGACGGGCCGTTGCCGGAGCATTTGGGCTGGCAGGACCAAAGGCGCAGACAAAGAGAGCCACCCTGGCGCCGGTCAGCACCGTGATCACCTGCCCGCAGGGGTTCGCACACAGGGCCAGCCCCGGGAGCAGGCACGAGTCCTCCAGCCTCCCCCCTCGCAGGGTGCACACCCCCACGCGCTCGCGGCGGAAGCTGCCGTCCAGCTCCTTGGTGGCCCAGCACGCGTGGGCCACCAGCTTGGTCAAGTTGTCCATCTGGGACGCGGTGTGGGTGTTCATCACCGAATAGAGGGCCCAAAAGGGATCTTGCAGAGGCCCCAGGGAGCGGACGGACAGGGAGGGCAGCAGGGCCAGGGTCTCCGCGGCCGCCGCGGCGTAGGCCTGGCGCAGCTGCGAGCGGGGCAGGCCGGCGCGCAGCAGGTGCTCGGCCTGCTGGAGCAGGGCTTCCGCCAGCAGAACCACGAAGGCCGCGCCGTCGCCGCAGCTCTCCGCCTGCGTGTGGGCTGCTTCGCGCAGGAGCCGCGCGGCGGGGTGCTCCAGCTCCAGGGCCCGGAGGATGGCCGCGGCGTAGCCCGTGAGCACGGTGGTTCCTCTGGCGGTGACCAGGAGCTTCTGCCGGCCGTGGGGGCCGTAGCAAGGCCGGATGACTCTGGCCAAGGTCTGCGCCGCGGGCACGCTGCTGAGCAGGTGCCTCTCTTGCGCTCCCGGGCTCCTCGGGCGCCGCCTCCGCCCGGGCGCCAGCCGCTCAGGCAGCTGCGGCGGCGCCGAGGTGGCTCTGCGGGCCATCGCCGGCCGAGGCGCTCTGGGGGCCGGGGCGGGGGCGCCTTCGCAGCGGATCTTTGACGCTTCTCAAGGGCTCAGCGGGAAAAGGAGCCGAATGTCGCTCCCCCTCCCCTCTGGGATCTGGAGAGGTGGGCGCTCCAGGATCGGGTGCAGGGATGATCTGCTGAGAGCTCAGCGCTCAACCACTCCCCCAGATTGAGCTGAAAGGAACGGGGCTCTTGGGGCATCTGAAGCTCGGGGAGCTGAAACAGACCTGACCGTGTTGAAGTCACAGAGCGGCACATGGAACCAGGGGACAGAGAATGAGGTCACAGAAGGATGCTTAGAGTTTGGGAGGCCCTGCGGGCAGGCACAAATCAGGCCCGGGCATCTGGCGGAGGAGGGACACACGTCTGCGCTGGGCCCCAGAGTTTCATTTAAACTTTGGAGACAGTGGAGAGGAAATCAAGTGAAAACACCCACCCACTTCAAATTCCTGACCAAGCTGTGGCGCCTGTGATGTGTGTTGAAGTTTTTGAGTGGGAAGGAGGGTTTTGTTTTACTTTCTTGTGAGGGACTATGTACTACTAGCTAGGTTGTGTTATCTATCCTCTTTGGCCACCTTTTCCGTTGGTGCTGTTCATCAGGTTCTTTACGGTGTTTATTGGTCTGTTTGTCTTTCGGGTTGCAGGTGTGTGATGCTCCTCCTTCCAATGACAACGATGTCACTGAGCTGGCAAAGGCAGGTCAAGACAAGGGAGGGAAAGATGCTGAGTGCCCACAGAAAAAACGAATAGAAATGTTTCAGCTGAGTGCAAGTGAGTAGCCTCCCAGTGGTGAGAAAGGTAGAAAACCACAGGGAATGAATTTAGGCCCCCCCAGTCTTACCCTCAACTCCCAGAATTTCAGTTCCTTCCTTCCAGTAGCCCTCCTTCCCTCGCTCTCTCACTCCCTCCTTTCCTCAAATACAGCCTACTGGGGTAATGATTGCTCCTTTTTTAGTTTAATAAATCTTTATTGAGCACCCACTATGTTCAATGGAATGAGGAATACAAAGGGACAGGAACATGGACACCAGGGAGGGGAAGAGATTTGCACCCCATGCATACAACTTCTGCAGGCATTAGGCAGAGCACCAGCTGGAAGAGACGAAGATTATGATTATTAAGAGTAGGGGAAAGAGGGGCGCCTGGGTGGTTCAGTCGTTAAGCGTCTGCCTTTCGCTCAGGTCATGATCCCAGGGTCCTGGGATCGAGCCCTGCATCGGGCTCCCTGCTCCACCGGAAGCCCGCTTCTCCCTCTCACACTCTCCTTGCCTGTGTTCCCTCTCTCGCTGTCTCTCTCTCTGTCAAATAAATAAATAAAATCTTAAAAAAAAAAAAAAAGAGTAGGGGAAAGACCAAGCAATACCATTCATTTTCATTTGGAAAAACCCTTTTTACTTTGTTTAATAGCAGCTGTCCCCGAGGGTGGGGGAGAACTCTGAACCTGATTATACCAGTCAGGAGTCATGATTGTATGGTGGGCATTGTTACAATATTTCCACAGACAAGATGATGGCAAGAAAGAAAAGTAAAAAAAAAAAAAAAAAAATCCGTGCGAGTGAAATATAATTAAGGCTGAAATAGAGATAATTTTGGAGAAACAAACTTTTTCTTTGAAAAACAACTTGATTGCTTTTGTAAAAATAATAGCTATTCATTATAAAAGTTAAAAAGAAAAATACAAAGAAAGCCAGTGTCATTTGGAATTCCAGCTCAGAGATAATCATTGTTTGCGTTTTGATGAACATTGTTACCTTGCACATATATTCATAAGTAGATTGTCATGGATTTCTACAGTTTTCCATAAGTGGATTGTATGATAATTATTATATAAGTTATTCTGTAATCATTTCCCCCCTCAACATTATGGTGAAGCGGAGAAATATTTCTAAGGAGGTATTATGCTGTCTGAAGACTGTGGACAACTGTTTTGACCTTTTTTTGATTTTGGAGAATCCTTTAGAAACAGGTGTGAACCTCCATGCCCTGGCTTCTGGAAGCCAATAACCCTGAGAAGAGTGTCATATAATAAATGTTGGGCATAGGGGCAAAGATGACTAGCGGGTTTCTTTATAGAAATGTGAAATGTAACAATCGACACAAAATGTAGCAAAGTATGCATGTTTACATTGTTTATAAAGATACAATTTTTATTTATTTAATTTATTTTTTATTGTTATGTTAATCACCATACAATTTCTTTTTTAAAAATAAACACTCCTGGTGTATGGGGTGGGGGGATAAACACTCATGTAAAGGATATCTTAGCTCTTTCTCTTACACTTCACATATATTTTCCCTTTTATACCACTTATTCCACAACTATTTATTGAGTTGCTGCTAAGTCATAGAGATAAAAGATGAGTAAGGCAGACAATGGCAGTCATCTCTACAAGGCATCTGGTGGAATACATTCCAGACCATGAGAGCTGTGATGGGGAAAGCAGGGGTGTTGTAGAAGCATGGGGGGCGCACATAGTCACTGTTATGGGGACAGCGGTGGTCAGGGATGGAAGTGAGGTCTAAAGAAGCAGGGATTGGCCATGTGAGAAGGGAAGGGAGTTGGGACAGCCCAATAAAGTTTGTAGACCACCGAAGGTAGTTCTGAAGGCTGGAGCTCACTGTGAGGAGGAAGGGGGGCAGGAAGGGGGGACGGACACTTTGGCTGTGGGGGTGGCAGGCTTAGGGGGCCATGCCAAGGAATTTAGACTTCAACGTGAAGAGTGACGGGTAGGACTCTTGAGTTCCATTTCCATTGTAAAGGTACATAATTTTATGTTGTGGTATCTTCGTCCATTTCACCTCACAGCACAGGGGAAAGTGAGGATCTGATCATTGTCTTTGATTCTGAAAACAGGCCCCAAACAGTATATTTTGGACCAAAATTTTTTGCCCTACCTTTACATAGATCAAACTAACCAAGGAACTACTATCGCAATTTTACTTATTACTTATTACTATGTGGACACTGTCATTGTTAAATTCACTTTAATTTTATTTATCCTACAGATAAATTGATTAGGTGTAAAATAAATGTGAATATCTTTTTTTTTTTTTTTTTTTAAGATTTTATTTGACAGAGAGAGAGAGAGACAACACAAGCAGGGGGAGTGGGAGAGGGAGAAGCAGGCCTCCGGCCGAGCAGGGAACCCGATGCGGGGCTCGATCCCAGGACCCCGGGATCATGACCCGAGCCGAAGGCAGACGCTTAACAACTGAGCCACCCAGGCGCCCCTAAATGTGAATATCTTGTGCCCAGAAAACATTGCATGCAGTTAACCCATTATATACACTTTTTCTAACAATAGAAACTTTTATCTGCTAAGATGGGTAGGCACCAATATAAGCTGTTTGGTAGCTAAATTGGGTTGAATATTGTCCCCCCCAACATACACATCCTTCCCCAAACCTCAGAATGTGACCTTATTTGGAAATAAGATCGTTGCAGATGCAATTAATTAAGATGAGGTCATACTGTAGTAGGGTGGATTCTTATTCCAATATGACTGGTGTCCTTACAAGAAGAGAAGATACACATACACAGAGAACATCATGTGAGGGCACAGAGGGAAGATGGCCACTGGAGTGATGCATCTGCAGCCAAGGTCACCAAGGGTTGTGGGCAACTACTAGAAGCGGAGAGGCATAGAACAAATTCTTCCTTAGCGCCTACCACAAGGAACCAGTCCTGCCAACACCTTGATTTTGGACTTTTTTTTTTTTTTTTAAGATTTTATTTATTTATTTGACAGAGAGAGACACAGCGAGAGAAGGAACACAAGCAGGGGGAGTGGGAGAGGGAGAAGCAGGCCTCCCGAGGAGCAGGGAGCCCGATGCGGGGCTTGATCCCAGAACGCTGGGATTATGACCTGAGCTGAAGGCAGACGCTTAACGACTGAGCCACCCAGGTGCCCCTGATTTTGGATTTCTAGCTACCAGAACTGTGAGAGAATAAATTTCTGTTGTTTTAAGCCCCTAGCTTGTGGTAGTTTGTTGCAGCAGCCCTGGGAAACTAATGTAATAGTAATCTTGTATTATCAATAAAGGAGAGGAACCTAAGAGTGTGTGGGGGGAGGTGGGGGGGGCTGGGGAGGCTGGGGGTAGGTTTCTAGTTTATAACACTGGCTGGCAGAATGTTTTTATATCCCTCTTCTAAATAGACATAATTGTCTGCTGACTTCTCCACCTCTGCCCTTCCCCCCATATCCCCAGATGCATTTCTATTAAAACTATGGTCTTGTACACAATGGATGTAAATATTTAATCTTTCTATTTGTGTGTTTTCCCATGTTTATTTTTCAGTTGCCTGCTTGCCCTTTTTGTGTTTATCTTGCTAAGTAGTTCCAGGCTTAAAACATAGACCCCTAGAGGGCAAGATTCCTATCTATATGAAATGCGCTGCAGACCATCTACTTAGGCCTCACACTCATACACAGATTTTTTTCAAAGGTGAATGTTCTGTTTAATTACTTCTCAGTTTCTTCCTTTAATTTTTCTGTCCAGCAGGTACATGGTATGCATTACTGAAATAACTCATGTAACGCAATAAGAATTTTCAAAGCTAAAAACACACTGTGGACTAAATATGAACTAATTTTAAATGACTGACATTCTTTTAAAATTTTATTTTTTTATTTTTTAAGCAATCTCTACACCCAACATGGGGCTCAAACTCACAACCCTGAGATCAAGAGTTATATGCTCTACTGATTGAGCCAGCCAGGTGCCCGTGAAATTCTTTTAAAAACCCTTTTTCACTGAAAAAGGACAAAAATTGATAGCCTATGACGGCAACTTTTTGAAGTGTAACTTTAACAGTAAAAATATGAACATAAAGATCAGAAGATCTAGAATTTAAGTTTTCAGTGGTCCTCTATAACTGTAAAAGTTTCGTTCCTAAAAAACACTCAGGAGTTTAAGACTTTACAGGAAAACAAAACAAAACAAAGACAATTGCTAGTGAACCTATGGGAGAGACTT